ATTCATTGATATCCAGCTGTTTTGCTACAAGATGTCTGCCATAATTTTGGCTGTGAGCAGCCTTTTCACTCTTGTTACTGTGACCTTGAACCACCTAGTAGACATCTATGGGCAAACCACTCTTGACTTTTCACCCGACTTTCCCGTAAAAATGGAGGACATTATAAAGAAACACTGCACAAAGGTGTTCCCAATGGGTGTCCTGACAGCCATGATGTCACTCTTTGGCGTGATTTTGATTCTCTGTGAGATGATCAGCTTGACAGTACAGGGTCAGGTGAAGGCCCAGTGTGCTTCCAACCTGGCTGATCAAAAGGTCTGAACTGAGGGCTCTGGCATTTTAACATCTGCCAGGAGAATCCTTGAACAAATTGCCCTTTTGTACACAGTACTGTGTAATCACCAATTCATTCTATATAAAATATCAACTTGATTTCTGGGAGTGTGCCTAAGTTTTATTCCTTCCTTGCTGCCAAACGCTATCCATTCTTTAAATGATTTCACATACTAAACTGCAGGTTGTGATCCCATTCGACAGTGCCAACAAGCAACACCAAGAAAGAGTACAGTACAACGGCATGTTTCCTAAGTAAACCTAGTGAATCCCATGAGCAATAAGGTTTGAAAGTAAGCAGACACCTCAACACACAAAAAGAAACCACATTCTTGTGTGGAGACACTTAAGTATTCAAATCTCTGAAAAGTAGAGCAGGAAGTTTTAGCCTTGGCACTGCTGGGAGTGTGGGATGCTCTCTTGGAGAAAGAAGTCAATGCTGTTCACTGAGTATGCTATTGCCATCTGTCGTCTCTCTCTTAGAAGGCAGTAGCCATCTCCTATTTCCCCAGTCATGAATAAATGCCCCAAATGCCCAGGCATTTCCAGTGTGCTCTGATGGTCCATGTGGTGGGTAGCATAGGACCATTCTAATCTATCAGCCATCATTTAGGACCCTAAAAATATCTTGGTTTTCTTCCTGGGAACATTAGTCCCTATTCTTTATCAGATCAGCTTTCTGAGTGTGTGTTATATATACTGCATAAATACTTTCGCTCAATGGATCTATATCAGTTGTTCTCACCCTGTGGTTTCTGGTCCCTTTTCTGGGTTGAATGACCCTTTCACAGGTTTTGCCTAAGACCATTGCAAAACACAGATATTTACGTTATGATTAATAACAATAGAAAATTGCAGTCATGAAGTAGTAATGAAAATAACTTTATGGTTGGGGTTGGGGGTCACTGCAACATGGAGAAGTGTATCAGAGTGTCAGAGCATTAGGAAGTTTGAGAATAACTGACCTCGATCTTCTATCTCCTTCACCACCACCCCTCATATCACATACCTGATTAATTTCTCTGACAAAATACATAACATGAGCAAGTAAAGTAAGGAAAGTTTATACTGGCTCTTAATTTGAGGAAATATACATCATGACTGAGAGATCATGGGGGCAAGAGTCCCAAGTTCCTCGCTACATTGCATTAGTAGTTAGGGAGCAGGGAGAGTAGTTAGAGCACTGTAGATGCTCACCTAGCTCTCTCCTGGTTATGCAGCCTGGAACCTCAGTCCAAGGAATGATGCTACTTTATTTCAGATGGTTCTTCCCAGCTCAATTATCCTCATCTTAACCTATTTGAGACATTTCCTTAGCCTTCTGTATTTCTTGATTTTAGATCCTGTTCACTCAACATTCAATATTAACCATTCCCAATCCTTTTCTTGAAAATTTATGGTCCAAATATATCAATTTTTTAAATTTAATTTAATTTTATTTTACAATGTTATTTAATTCTACATATCAGCCCCAGAATCCCATGTTCTCCCTTCTCCCGCCTCACTCCCCTTCCCCCCAGCTCACCTCCCATTCCCTTCTCCTCCAGGGCAAAGACTGCCCCTGAGGATTGAGATCAACCTGGTAGACTCAGGCCAGGCAGGTCCAGTCCCCTCTTCCCAGGCTGAGCAAAGTAGCCCTGCATAAGACCCAGGTTTCACACAGCCAACTCATGCACTGAGCACAGGACCCAGTCCCACTGCCTTGATGCCTCCCAAACAGATCAAGCCAATCAACTGTCTCAACTCTTCAGAGGGCATGATCCAGTTGGGACCCCCTGAGCCATTGGTTCATAATTCATGTGTTTCCATTCGTTTGGCTATTTGTCCCTGTGCTTTATTCAACCTTGGTTTCAACAATTCTCTCTCATATCATCCCTCCTTTTTCTTGGCAATTGGAATCCCATAGCTCCACCCATGGCCTAGCCATGGATCTCTGCATCCAGTTCCCTCAGTCATTGTATGGGGTTTCTAGCACAACAATTAGGGTGTTTGGCCATCCTATCACCAGAGTAGGTCAGTTCGGGCTGTCTCTTGACCATTGCCAGCAGTCTATTGTGGGGGTATCTTTGTGGATTTCTGTGGGCCTCTCTAGCACTTTGCTTCTTCCTATTCTCATGTGGTCTTCATTCACCATGGTCTCCTATTCCTTATTCTCCCTCTCTGTTCCTGATCCAGCTGGTATCTCCTGCTCCCCCAAGCTCTCTTTCCCTCGACCCTTACCCTTCATTACCCCCACTCACGTCCAGGCTGTTCATGTAGATCTCATCCATTTCTCTGTCACTGGGTGATTCCCGTGTCTTTCTTGGGCTTCTGTTTTCCAGGTACTCTCCCTGGTGTTGTGAGTAGCAGGCCAGTCATCCTTGTTCCACATCTAATATCCTCCTATGAGTGAGTGCATACCATGGTTGTCTTTGTGAGTTTGGGTTTCCTCACTCAGGATGATTTTTTAATAGATCCATCCATTTGCCTGCAAACCTCATGATGTCATTGTTTTTTCTCTGCTAAGTAGTATTACATTGTGTATATATACCACATTTTATTTATCCATTCTTCTGTTGAAGGGCATCTTGTTTGTTTTCTGTTTCTGGCTATTACAAACAATGCTGATATGAACACTGCTGAGCAAATGCCCTTGTGGTATGATTGAGCATTCTTTGGGAATATGCCTCAGAGTTGTATAGCTGGATCTTGGGGGAGATTAATTCCCAATTTTCTAAGAAAGTGCCATATTGATTTCCAAAGTGGGTGTACAAGTTTGCATTCACACCAGCAGTGGAGGAGAGTTCCCCTAGCTCCACATCCTCTCCAGCATAAGGTATGTTCAGTGTTTTTGATCTTAGCCATTCTGACAGGCATAAGGTGATATCTCATCCAAATACTAATGTTTGGATTAGCATTTCCCTGATAATTAGGGATGTTGAGCAATTCCTTAAATATTTTTCAGCCATTTGAGTTTCCTCTGTTGAGAATTTTCTGTTTAGTTCTATAGCCCATTTTTAATTGGCCTGTTGGGCATTTTGATGTTTAATTTCTTGATTTCTTTATATATTCTGGATATGAGTCCTCTGTCCGATGTTTGGTTGGTGAAGATTTTTTCCCATTTTGTAGGCTGTTGCTTTGCCTTGTTGACCAAATCCTTTGCTCTACAAAAGCTTCTCAGTTTCAAGAGGTCCCATTGATTGATTGTTTCTCTCAGTCTCTGAGCTACTGTTATTAAATTTAGGAAGTGAACTCTGGTGTCAATGCGTTCAAGACTACTTCCTACTTTCTCTTCTAGCAGGTTCAGAGTAGTTGGATTTATGTTGAGTTCTTTGATCCACTTGAACTTAGGTTTTGTGCACGGTGATAGATATGGTTCTATTTGCAGCCTTCTACACATTGATATCCAGTTATGCCAGCACCATTTGTTGAAGATGCTTTCTTTTTTCCATTGGACACTCTTGGCTTCTTTGTCAAAAATTATATGTTCATAGGTGTGCAGATTAATGCCAGAGTCTTCAGTTCTATTCCATTGGTCCACATGTTGGTATTTCTGCCAGTACCAAGCTGTTTTTATTACTGTAGCTCTATAGTAGAGCTTGAATTCAGGGATCGTTATTATTCCCGAGATTGTTTTATTGTACAGGATTCTTTTGGCTCTCCTGGGTTTTTTGTTTTTCCATATGAAGTTGAGTAGTATTCTTTCCAGGTCTATGAAGAATTGTGTTGGTATTTTGATGGGGATTGCATTGAATCTGTAGATTTCCTTTGGTAAAATTGCCATTTTTACTATGTTAGTCCTGCCTATCCATGAGCATAGGAGATCTCTCCGTTTTTTGACATCTTCTTCAATTTCTTTTTTCTGCAACTTAATGTTCTTGTCATATAGGACCTTCACTTGCTTGGTTAGTGTTACCACAAGGTGTTTTATCACATTGTGACTATTTTAATGGGTTATGTATCTCTAATTGCCTTCTAAGTTTCTTTTTCAATTGTATATAGGAGGGCTACTGATGTTTGTGAGTTGATCTTATAATCTGCTTCATTGCTGATGGTGTTTATAAGCTGTATCAAATACTTGGATGAATTTTGGGGTCACTCGTGTATACTATTATGTCATCTGCAAATAGGGAATGTTTGACTTCTTCCTTTCCAATTTGTATCCCCTTAATCTCCTTATATTGTCTCATTGTTCTGGATAGAACTTCAAATACTATATTGAATAAGTACACGGAGAGCTGACAGCTTTGCCTTGTTCCTGATATTTGTGGAATTGATTTGAGTTTCTCTCCATTTAATTTGATGTTGGCTGTTGGCTTGCTGTAAATTGCCTTTATTATATTTAGGTATGTTCTCTGTATTCCTGATCGCTCCAAGACCTTTATCATGAAGGGGTGTTGGATTTTGTCAAAAGTCTTTTCTGCATCTAGTGAGATGATCATGTGATTTTTTTTTTGAGTTTGTTTATATGTTGTATTACATTGATGGACTTTTGTATGTTGAACCACCCTTGCAACTTTGGGATGAAGCCAACTTGATCATGTTAGATAATTGTT